ATATCGTATAACAGCACAAAAGAAAGACGTACAGAATTAAGTCATAATTTAAAGTGGATGGCCGTTTCGAAAGCTCGAGCAACAAACCGACTGTCCGCGGACACATTTTATCGCACGTGCCACCTACGGACTGATGTCATTCTTGTCACAGTTAACCTTAAAAAAGATCTAAATATTCAGAATCAAATTTTACTGGTGGTTTTAAGGGAAATAACAGTCAGAAACAATTGTCACGACGCGACCACCGCTTGCGATTTTTAAGTTATATGCGTAGGCGGCGCTGGCCGTGGGCGGGCGGAAGTGAGAGCGTCAGCGCACAACCTTCTGTCTCTATCTGACATCAAAGACATGCATTAGATCGAACGGAACAGCGGATTGAACAATTCCGCAATGTCACAGATCACAGAGCTTGATACAACGTTACCAAGGCTCTTCAGTTTACGACCACTTTCGGTTCTGAGCGTGACGCAACCGATTGGAAGTCTCTTACGAGTTGCTACACGTGCGCCTTTCATTCAGAAAAATATGGTCATTACTTTGTGCAAGTGCTTATTGCAAAAATTACAATATTCGAGTCACGTTTCGGCATGAATGCTTGTATAAAATATTGTTATAAATATACGGTAAAGGCGAATTACTTTGAAATTAATATGCTTTAAATGAATTGCCAAGTTATCGAGCGATCCGGGACGGGCTGTTGATTTTTGATACACTTATCGATCGTAAAAGTTGAGCGAAAACATGTTTCGAAATACCTGTCTTGGGCGATATTTCCCGCGATCATGTCAGTGCGAATTTTTCAATAGAAACCGCGAATGAGGGAGGCGTCGCGGAGATACAGGAAATTCAACTTCCACGAGGAATTTCGAAGCGTTCGATGCTACGACGCGAGGAATCGATAGGCGTATCGGAGTTAGCTGAGATGACGGACGGACAAAGAGCGTGTACGGCCATAAAATTGGTCTCCGAGTGTCGTGTCTTTTGTTAGGCGGCGCGATCGGCGGCGGAGCTAACAGGATTTCATAGGTTTATGTGCGATTATGAAGGCGCAAGTACTGAGAAAGAGCGTGACGAAAAACAAAAGCGATCTTTACCTCGCCGACGATAAAATGCTGCAGATGGCAGTTGGAGGCGAAACCTATTAAAAGTTTAACGCACAACTGCGAAACGTACAGGCAGAACAATTAGATGTCTAGGTTTTAAAATTACAGCAGTATTTTTAAAGCTATGTTTTTAATGCAATCTTGAAGTCCTGGTCATTGACTAGATAGGTTTTAAAACCTAAATTCAAACTTTAATCATATGTTCAATATTATCAGTCTTGTTATTAAACATATCAACAAATTACTGGCCATCAACAAATGAATAACAAGCATGGTTCTTGCACAGCAGATGTACGTTTCAGTTGGCTGTGCCTTCCCTCGCTTACACCATACCAGCCGGACCGTAACGTACATGGCAAGTTTACGAGCCAATCGGGGCCTGATACGCCAGAATGCCTGGCATCCACCACCGACTTCCTAGCTCCTGTCCGCACCGTATTTATAACTACCCGCATTAAATTAAAGACCACACCGCGTCGATTTATATGCACCGCAGCATTTGCTCTCAGGCTCTACAATGTACGCTTAGAAAGACAAACAGCCCACTTCAAAACTTGAATCAAACCGTTCCATTAATTTACTTTACTTCACCGCTAAATTGGACCTTTCTACAGAAATTCCGAAAGCAACACTCGATTATTTTCTAGAGAAAAAAAAATCCGGTTCGGTTGATACAGTTTTTTCAAAAGAAAGGCGGGTGATTGTTAATGAAGGCAATTTGGTAACTGGGCTGATTAACGAGACAGTGACGGGAATCGGTTATGAACTGAGCGAACGTTCGCAATATTCGCAGATGAGAGCGATGTATCATTATGCACGACTTTAGATTCACAACACGCCGCGAACGGTACGAGAGCTGAGTTGCGAACACAATAATTCCGGAATATATCTAGTTAAATGAACCGACACGAGGAATACCGGTCATACATAAATCATGCGCAGGAGTACGATCGAGAGCAGCACGCGTCGGATGCGTTCGCGCCAGTGTTGCCAGAAGGTTACTTTTGTAACCTTTTAGGTTACTTTTGAACTGCTGTGGTTACTTTTAGGTTACACTAATGAAAAGGTTACTTTTAGGTGATTTTTCAGAAATTGTAGAATCAACTTTACAGGTTATTCAGTAAAAAATATTAATAGTGACAATTTAAAAATTATGTCATAGAGTGCATTTAAACTTGAATTTGATTTATTATTTGTTAAAAAAAATGAGTTTTAGCGAATGTTTTTCGATAATAAAACGCAAATCCATGAAACGTTTTTATACGACTGGTCACTTCTCGAATTGAGATGATCAATTATTGTATTCATTTTCCATCATGAACAACCTTTAATATTTCTGGTAATTTCTGACTAGACCCGACTGGCAACACTGGTTCGCGCATTAGACGCGCGGCGCCCGGCGCGGAAGGACGCCGCCCACGCGCCGTGAGCCAACCGATCGGACGATTATATCACCGTTTATGTAGGTGGCCTTATAAGGCTAATGTTCAAAAACAAACGCAACACATTGTCCTCACAATTTCCCACGTATTAAACGCTCTCCGGAACTAATCCTCGGCACGTACTCCAGATTTCCATTTGAAAGCTTTTTGTTTGTGTTAAGCTCGCGATACTATTGGTCAATAGAAAAACTCGGATGATGGATTGGCACGGTCACAAAAGCTAAGGATTTGTTTTCAGAACTGAATAGCCGTCGAGTTAGTACTGGACGCGTGTGGAATACATTATGGCCGCGATGTCCATTTCCACGGTTCTTGCGGCGGAGTAGTTGGGAAAACAAGTTACACACGTATAGGATATACGAGACGTAACATTTCTACTAGCACCATAGACGTCTCGCAAATAGAATTCTTTATGCCTTTCGCAGGTGCACAGTTAGCTCGTCCGAGCGTGTCGCTTTTTCAACTTGTGACAAAGAAATGCTAACGGTTATGACAGTTAAATTGATTAACGTTCTTCTTAATAAGTGGAAAGGAATTCTAAAAGTAGTAAAGGGTTGAATTTTGAAAAAGGAAGACGCATTTGACCTGCTAATAAGTGGGGATATCGTTCAAACAGGCTCGTTGTTTACACACAAGCGCGCTGCGTTCCCACGTAGCTGTCAGCACGGGCGCAGCTCCACTATACATAGCCTATCGGCGCATCTACACCACTCCAGTGGACAATCGTCCTAACAAAGGCTCACCGACTACAGCGGACCCAATCATTTCCCACGCGGTAACGGTCGAGCCTCACTTGGGACGCTAGTTTGAATTTATGGACGCGGAACTTTCGCCTTGGAGCGCGTCCATATCAACTCGAGCACGGTAACTAGCCAGGACGCTGTCTACGAAGCCAGAGATGTAAACGAAACTACAGATACAATGGTTAACAGTTACACAGCCGAAACACCGCAACGAGATGGCGATACAAAAGCATGACCGATAACTTGTACTCTTTCAATAACAGAAGGAAACATTGTTTGAGTTTGCGGACAATAATGTTAAAAAGTTAACGTCATGTTTTATAGATAACGCGAGGAACTATGACCTGCGCTTGAGAACGATAAATTGTATTGTCATTTTAAGAACGGACTGCATTATTCCTAAGTAGGGCTTCAATCATCAAATTGGCTTAGAATGTTATCTTTTTATGTCTGTATTATTTTTTTAATTAAAAGGGGAATGTGAGTCGGTAATAAAATTCCAAATATGCCATAAACCGCCATCTGGTGTCTCAGTACGTTTGATGTGCTTTTATAAACGATACAGTTCCGATGTACCNAATGTACTGTAACACAATATGAGCGGTCCGGTGACGCGTCCGCGGTTTTCGCTATTCTGGGCGGGCCTAATTTTAACCATCTGCGTCTCGGCAAATAGTGAGGCCGCTCCTTACGCGGCTGCATGTGGACTATCGATACCGTATATCAAACATTGTATCGTATCGACTACTCATCTCTGGGGATTCGATTATGTAGGAGTATACGTCAGTAGTGTACGCTGAAATAGTGTGTGCGGGATATGGACAGATAAACCAACTAAGAGAAACTATTTTATGCATGCTACAATCAATTTTACATAATTCTCATTAATTTAACGCTTCAATAACATGACTCTACATTTAAAGAAAGTCTTGAAACAATGATTTGTCTAAATATTGAAAATCTAACGATTGGGATTAAATATTATGCTAAAGTTCGAATCTAGTTTTGACAGTAATTTCATAAATGAAGCCTTACAAAGTCTCTTTCATTCATCAACAAATCGTCACATGTTAATCATATTCCAACTCAGTTTAAGTATATCGATAGCGATAACATCATTCATTGCACATCACTACTCCCCGGTCTAGTTTTAGGAAGTGGGCCGGCTGGATTCGCCGAATCAATCTCCCGGTGCCCAATACATGTTCAATTACTCTGTGGATTTAAAGACTGCGTCTGGATGGAGCGGGACTCAGCTTCCATCGACGGGACGTCAAATCTCCGGGCTTATATGGACTGCGCATGGTTTATTCGTACTATAATTTGTATCGACTGAATTATGCTTTTGTTAGCCGACCCATTTCAAACACATTGAATTTCATTATGAATTATTAGATGAGCTTCCCATTTTTGTAAGATGGATGATGGGGTAGCTAATCGTTTCAATTTAAGTACTGATCAAATTTTCTGAAAGGCATTTCATCGTATAGTTTCCTTAACTCTGCTTACCAAATAACATCAATTAGGGTAATTTAAGAGATTATTGACTTATCGATAGAAAAAACTTGAAATCCCTTTGATTGCATACAAACTTAATTGGAATAAGATTAAATCATATGACGCAAGTATCAGGCCGTCAATCAGCGGATCTGCTATGTTAGTGAATTGCGCAACTGGATAATCGTGGGCCTAATTATCGNTATGTTAACATGGGCTAGTGTCGGCTCATATACCCATTTACCTAACACCCTGTATATTATTCTTTGCAGCAATCACAACAAATAGAAGAAATTACAGATCAGACAGAGGATGATCCTCTGATAAGAGACCGCACCAGTACGGCTACCACACCATCCAGACCACCATCTAGATCACCATCCATACAGGCAGTTAATAAACGTCGCCGCCTTGCTTCTGATTCTGAAACGGCTGAAAAGCAAATGGCCGTGGCTTTTGGTCAATTAACGAATGTTTTAAGTCAAAAACAGAATGAAAATAGACCTCCTTACAAAGAAGATGATTGCGATCTATATGCTAAATTATTGGCTATAAAGCTACGTGAACTGCCAAATGATGAACGAAAAATTATGATGTACCAAATAGATGGGTTGTTTATAAACAGAATCAGTCAAAAATCAAATGAGCGTCATACACCATACCCTCAATATTATTCTCGACCTTCCTCAATTGCTGGTTCATATTCACGCCATACACCATCTCCTCAAGTCATTCAGAGTCGGCCAACATCAGTTAATAGCGTTTATTCTGAACCTATACATAACACTCAAAGTTTTTTTCCCTCTCCATACACAGAAACCTCTCATTCAGTGCCAAACACAACAGAACATATACCAACTCCAATACCTCCAGCTCCATCTACATATTCTACATCAACAGCACCCCTGTCATCTATTCGTATAATATCGGACCAAATCCTCAACCCACCCCCGCGAGACACCAACATTATAAACTTAGCTTTATTGAATGCTTTCGAAGATTTTGAGTCGTCAAAATAATTCTTATTTAAGGTTAAATATAAAGTTAAATAATTAAGCTGTAAAAAAGTTTCCTATGAATCAATTAAAACCTAAACAAATGTATAACAATTTTTTCTTTTATTCTTACCTTAACTAGATCCTTTAGAATTTCATTAAGAGATCGGCAAACTTCACGAATGGTTATTGATATCATAGAGACAGATACTTTAAACATGTAGTGAAGGCTTTTGTAAGAATCACCAGATGCTAAAAATCGTAGCGTAATGGCAAGACGAAATTTGGCCGGTATAGCATCTCTGAAGTCTGTATCTTGCTTGGATATCATTGGTGAAATTTTCTGCAGTAAAAATTCAAAATCGGTATAGCTCATTCGGCAGAAGTTATCAAACTCGCCAGAAGGTTCATATAAAAGTTCATTAAATTTCTCTTCTATAAATTGTCTGTAACAAATAAAATATAGGTACAGTAAATATTGTGGAATAACGTAACTACAACAGATAATGGTTACACCAAAATAGTAGTTACCTGGTACGATTTCGATGAATCTTTTTCATCCACCATCTTCGTTGTCGTCGAGTTTTTCTTTTTTTTGTTTCACTTTGCTTGCATTTTAAATAAAAGTACGATAAACCAAATGCAATAGCCGTTACAAGTTCGGTGTCCGCCATGCTTGGATCTATCTTGCAGACTGACGCGTTCCCAAGCGTGTAAACTCCTTTCAAACGCCAAACGAGATTTGTGGAGGCTTGGAGCTGTTTGCCGCTTGCGAAGNTGGATAATCGTGGGCCTAATTATCGAAATGATACAGACGTCCGCCATATCGAGTCGGATATACCGAATAGAATATATCGAATACTCCCGGCTAAATCTATAATGGATGAGACGCGTCCCGCGTCAATCCAGTAAACGAGATCGCATAAGCGCGCGCGCATGCGTAACTAAACATCTGACAATTGAAGGCCTATTCATTAATGTAATCGAATTAATAATAAAATAAATAAACATTTTTATTAAATAAAGGATGAACATACTTCAATAAATACAAATTAATACCGGTATACTTGTTGTGAGCTCCCTTGGGGTATTAAGAATTATCACCGCTTTAGTGTTAATAAAAACTTTACATTTTCACTACGGTGAAATTAAGAAATGATAACTATAAGTATATTATAGGTAGGTATATCCTTATAGAATTTGTATGATACGAGTATTGATGACATGCTGAGCCTGAGAAGTTTTTAACAAAAACAAGCAGATGGCTTAAATTCTTTGTACAGGGAAGATTGCACGTATCCAGTCGTCTATACCATAAATAGTTGTCAACTACCACCACCCATTAACCCAGCATGATGTCCATGCCACAATCCCATTATAGCATCTTTTGTTTCAGAGATGACGGCTATTACGCAGCAGGCTTTCTTTAATTAACTTAAGCCAATTACTGTTTTGGTAATCAGGGCGCGTTCTTGAGGACCGCGAATAAATTTCAATCAGGGCAATCAGGATCGCGGAAGTTTGCGCAGCCGATGGGCACAGGATAACGGAGTCGCACCTCGCATACAAAGCCGTCACGCGGAGTGCATACAAAAGAAGACCTCCGCTGCAAATCATTAGGATTGCGGTAAGTGGGATGTGAGCTGAATCCTCTTTGATACCACCAGCGATAGGAACAAATAACGACGGGATTCAGCAAATTCCCATTCGTAAATACATTCGCACAGTTAAGGATGACTGACCAGTGGTTAGATGCGGGCGAAATTCACTCGCAACAGGAAATAGGGCTGATTTAAGTAAACATCCAGCGAGAATGAATAACAATGTTACTGCACCGCCATAATTCGCCGCAGTTTCGCGATGGGCAACGCCAATGCATCTCCGTACGCCAATTTGTAAGCGTGGACATAAACCGCCAATGTAACGAAGCTCCTAAACAACGAAATAACCGAGCGCATCAAGTCCCGCGAAATATCTCAGCGGTTGACAAGCCGACAACCCAAGAAGCTAACTCGGACTTTATGGTACGTTTACACGCTTGCCAAGCCTTGGCACGTACCATTACATTCGCCGACGTAACGAGGGGAGCCGCCGGCTCGCCCATTGTATTTATGCCTTAAACACAATTTATTTATTCGGCAAACATTACGGAGACACAAAATCTTGTCCATAAATACATGTGAAAGCACATATCAAGTATCGGAATGCAAACGGCGGGGCTCGTGTCTGAATTATGCAACAGAACTGCGCGGGCGCAGGCCTGCCGTAATAGTGCACGGAGTGCCCGCGGAGAACTCCTAAAATAATACGCGGATAAGCGCATGGCCGCGCTCGAAATAACTTGCCCAATTTCCGAATCAGAAGATTTCACTCTGCGCATCGAACGCTGAACAGAACACCCCAACCCTTTTTCTTTCGATTCTAAATTAACGCACTGATCCATTATCAAAATGATTTTGCGAACCGAATTCACGACGGTCATTGCTCCTGCGAAAATTTCACCAATTTGAGAGTGCATCCTCAGCTGAGCGCTGGACGGATCTCTTCATTTGTCCAGCGAGTGGACACGGCGAAGGCGGTCTGCGAATATTGCCCTTATGTCGGATTAACGGTGGGTCCATCGATCTTACTTTTGGGTGGTCGGTCGGTACGATGTTAATTACAGGGGAGAACCGATCATTTAATGTGAATTTCGCAAACATTAAATAATTTACAAAAAATTGAACCGGCGGTGCGTTCACGCGCGGAATAATAAATTAATGATCGCACCAGCCGCAACGCTCTACGGCGGCAACAATTTGAGGATTCCCTTACACGACACCGCGACCAAAGTAAACGTTGGACATAAACACGGCGCATAATTCTATTACGGGTGACCCGACTCGCGACGTGAGGGCCACAACAAATGAAACAATACCGGAGCTTATAGAACAATAGCTTCAGAACAACGTTCATTAAGAACTGATCTCGGGCATAGCAAAGAACGTCGGCCCGATAATCTTGTAATCCTTAAACCACACGCGGTGACGATTACAACGCACCTATTAGTCAAATTAGCTTTATTGTTGGAGCCCGTCAGCTTGCACAAGACGACCAATCGGCTTAAAGGCAGACAATTATGTGGGCATATTAGCCTGTACAATACGATGAGTCAACAGAAATTGCGTCTTGGGCGTTTATCAAAACAATAGTATTGATAAGTTAATAAACCGAGGTGCGAGACTAACGAGCGATTACCGAGCGCCTCGAGAATAGACGCGCGCGGCTCATGCGAGCGGAATACGTTATGGGTGCGCGTGAGTCACCGTCGCTATTGGAAAGGCGGGCCAAAGCTTGATTGTCGACGTCTAAAAAAGATCAAGAATTTACGACTCGTGTCGACAACTTCTGTAGTGGCGACGATTCTTTTTTAAGCAACGAGATATTCCCCAGAGACCGACCGACGTGCCTTGAAACAGAACTAAAGAATCCGCAGCGGAATCCACAGAAGAAACAGGCGTGCGCTGAAAGCGAAATCTCAAGAGTTCTGCGAGACGTTACGAAACGCGAGCTCGATTAGGGATACGGGTGCGCGAGGGCATTGACCGACTTCCACATTTATACCGCTAAATCATGCACAAGAGCATATGCATCCTACGAGGTGGTGTTACGCCAAACGCCAGGGCAGCATTACAGTTTATATTCACAAAACAGACGCGCCAGACAACCGAGTTGCATGCGACGAATACGTAAAGAATTATATTTATGTAAACGACCAAGCAACAATGACAGGTGAAACCATTCCTAGAAAAAAGACGAAAAGCACCGCTTTTGAAAGTGGAGTTATTTACGAATATTGTTTACATCAAACGACCGATCCCTCAAAGTATGCACAATGAATAGAGAGTACACAAATAAGTGATAGAGATCTAAGCGAGGCGATCACGGGACGCACTTATCGCCCGGAATCGTAATTACCGCGAGAATATTTCAATCGGATCGACTTATCGCTGGTGCGTGAACAATAATGATGGATATCGGCGCCGACGTATTATTTCCGTGCGTCAAACCTGGACGGCGGGATCGCCCCACCTGAAGACGAGATTTTTATCGATGCGAATGCGAAACGAGGGAATCGACGCAATCGATTTCAACATATCAACGCTGACAAGAGGCATTCGAGGTCGGGGGCGAAGACGCAGTGGGCGCCGGATGGGTTCGAAATTAAAACGATATGCAAATGAGAAGTGAGAATTAATCGTTCAGTGCAATCGATGCGACGGCAGCGAGAGCAGCTACTGGGTACAAATCGATGAATAAATAGTGTCCGATTAGCGACGCAAGGTGTGTTCAGCGTTTAATGGATGAATCGAATCGAATCTGAGCAGCTCAATGAATCGACACGTCGAACTCGCCGTATTTGGCGCTCGGTGCAGTAGTACGGGCCATTGATTAACCGTCGGCAGTTCAAACTAATTTCTGGACGGTACTGTTCAGATTTGAATGTAAATGTGACGAGTGACGTCGGCGAGGGCATCTATGAATTACCATGTGAAAGCTCCCGCGTTACCCGATTGGTTTTCCTGGCGGCGGCGACGGGCGCGGAGTTTGACAGAGGAATTTATAATAATCGCTCTCCGTGCCTCCGAAAGTAATTTTCAATTAAGATTCTTAATAATCCGGATCACGCGGCAGGACTTAGAGCCCGCGGCGACAGCGCGCTCGCTCCCGTCATAATTGGAAACTGTCTCGCTGCTTCTACGATAAAAATCTATTCAATACCTTTACATTTCTTGATATTACAATATAATCAACTCGAGATATACGGCTGAACGTTTCATTAAACTGATATTAATTGGATCGTCTAAAAACAGACGTTGCTTAGACGAATGTAATACGATCGACTTCCGACAATTTGTGGATAATGTACATTATTAGACGTTCACTCCTAGCGCGGAGTATTTTTTACAGAAGCTAGTATGAAAGGCCGATTCATTGATCATAATGAATGAGCAGCCGCGGCCGCTCCCGCTTCCGAGGCGTCACTACAAACAGTATAACCGGTTCCTAGCGTTAATTATAAAACAATTTTACATCTGATTATTTTGCTACCGAATACTTCTCAATCGGTTTCGACATCTGTAAGACTATCATCAATTTCATTGATAGGATTTTTACTTGAATGATTAATTAAAAGATCACGTTTAAATTGATTTTGGGTTCTGGACGCGGGAGCAAATAGATAAGTCGGTTAACATTACTTTTTGTTTTAGGACCGATTTATGATTATGTTATGAATCTGTTTAATATAAAAAGAAAATTTCCTCAACAGAAGCGAAAGGTTTTGACACTCGATCATTCATTTCTCGCGTCCACGGCTCGTTGGCACTCGGCGTCTGAATGGAGCTGTCAATTATAAACGCAATCTGATCCCTGCATAATGTGCTTATCACTTACTGACCTCAAAAGTTTCCACAAAAACATTTAAAAACAAGGAAACCTCTCAAATTTCCGAATTTCTAACGAAATCCTCAAATCTCAATAAGTTAGTATCAAAAATTACTCTAACATTGTATTTACAAATATATTAACAAAATAGTTTATTGCTTGTATATTATTTCTTCATTATTTTAACGTAACGCCATGGAGGCGGTAAACTAACCTAGAACGTGACTATCTCGATAATCCAGCCGAAATCTCCTAACAGGAGCAATCGATGCCGTAAGATTTATTCTAGTACCATCGGAACTACCGTTGGGGGTGGTGCGACATGTGGGGATGGGATAGATGTG